CCCCCCCCCCCCCCCCAAGCCAGATTGTAGCCATAAAGATTGTGGGTTTGATAGTAGGATGTATAAAATATAACACACTGCTGTAGGGCTGGGAGTGGGGAAGATAATAAAAGAAACAATTTACAATAGTTACTATAACTGAGAATACTATTTTTTAAATCATAAGAGACTAGAAATATTTTCCATATGGCTTCACTGGCTACAGTTTTAAATAGATACTCAAAAAGTAATGAGGGGCTTTTATTTCTGACTTAAATCATCAGAGACCATCCTCCACTTTATTCCTGAATTACACTAATTCAAACTCTTGACCACAGTATTTTAATTTCAGCAGTTCTATTTATGATTACCTCTGTGGGCCTCTTTACACTGACATGTTCATATTGAGTCTCTGATGGTACATCATATTTGTACATGTTTACTAATTCTCTCCTCTATTATGCTGTCTATCAGTTTGCTAGTCTGGAGGCCATAGATCTCTTCTCAGCTGTTATCATAGAGAGTTTTGGCATATTTACTGACTATGTCTTCCAGCCCTTTGTAAAACCTCTCATTTAAATACTGTGCTAGCAGTAATATGACCAACCCAAAATATGGTAATTTTGAGTTGAGTAAAAGACACTGCTAGTCAGAGGACTTGCAGGTATTTCACATCATAGCCTTACCAATTGCTCTGATCCGACTAACTGATATAAACCAACTCTATCAACTCCAAGGAAAACAAGGAGATGATAAACAGAAAAACATACAGGAAAAAGTAAGTAAAACAAAACTACAACATTTTCTTTCTTTATCCAAGTCAGGAAGAACAGAATAGAGCACATACTTCAATTTTCTGTGATAGTTTGTATGTAGAATGACTGTATTTGCAAAAGGTGGAGAGCTTGTGTGACTCACAGCAAAGAGGTCAGAGCTGAGCAGAACAAGTTAGCTGCTGACGTGAGATCAGACAATTGCAAGTACCCGGAGGCAGGCAGGAAGCACACTGCAATTCTGGAACAGGATTTTGATACAAACAGGCTGCCTAAGGAGCCAAGAAATCCTGCTTTGTGGTATATAAAAATACTAGTCTATTATTCTTATGGTCACAAAATGCTAATAAACCTTAAGATCTGATTATAGAGTACTTTATGCATTTAAAGTGGGATACAAATAACACAGTTAAGTCAAGAATATTTTAAAGAGAAATAAAGACATGAGGGTATCATTTTGCAAGTGAAAATCATCATATAGCATAGAGTGTTTCTCTCTTCTTTATAATTGGGCAGACATGTATAAAATCTCTGTTTCCTTCAGTTTTGGCAAAAAAAATAATTGCACAAAGGAGAATTGTTTACCTGGATTATAAGCATTAAAATAACTCCATTTTAGCATCTTTTTTTAGGGGAAAACCTACTGCCTGTTCTCAAAATACATGGTCAATCTTTGTTTCTTTGCCAATGAAAGAGTTTGTTTTAGGCTTAGAGGAAAGAAAGGATGATTAGTTTCAGCATTATGTGAAGGTGGGAAAGCTTGTAAGAGGTCTTTTGTTCAAAGCTTGGATGACATTTTACTTGGTGATATGTCCTTTGCTTTAACTCATTGAGGTTATATGTCATGTACAGGTACCCTGGGGTAAATCCCTTCTAGCTTACCTCCTCTTAAATCTATGATGTTGTATGGCAGATTAACTTTTCCCATTTATTCTTTAAACTTTTTCACTTGTATGCCCTATAGAGAATGTTAGCCTGGTTTCATCAGTGATGACTCTTATTTGATGTTTGGTTTTTGTGTAGTCCTCTATAATATAAACACTTGTCTGTTAATTGCTGTGACATTATTATGTGTTACTGACCCCTAAATAATTTCAAGTTACAATTAACTATTTTTTTGCAACTTCACTTGTTCAAATACCTTCTTGTGGATGTCAGCATTATATCCAGAGAAGCTATTTTGCACTATTTAGTAAGCAGTGCTTTTATCTGTTCCTTATCCTAAGATAGTTTTAGAAAGGCTCCTCTGCCTGGTGTGGTATATTACTCAGGGAGACTGTGTAGTTAAATTTTCTTCTATTGCTATCATGTGGTTCTAAATGGTTCTGAAATAATTTCATTAAAGTAAGTGTAGTAACCTTACAACAATTCTCAAAAAGAGTTATTAGATCATCTGCTCTGATCTCCTATATATTGGAGGACATTACATCTGAACTTGGGTGCTTCTGTACTTTACTCAGTGTCGGGGTTAGGCTTCTTTCCTTTTGTTCCTTTTTACTTATAGAATTTTTGCCCAAAGTTGCTAGGAAACACTAACAACTGGGTGCTTAAGAAGTACAAAAGAAGTGGCCAAGCTCAGGGGAGGAGGACGTCTGGTTGTATTTCTCTTATCTGGGAGTTTTTCTCCGAGGGCAGAGAGACCGGGAGAATTGGGCAGGTAAAGAACGGGGCTGGGGCGGCTGCTGGCTCTCTCTCTCTCGGAGATGCTGCTTGGGGAAGGGAATTCCCCGCTGCCGACGGAGCCCAGCCCAGAGCTGCTTCTTCTGCCGTGGGGTGAGCCTCTGCTCGTGAGGGCAGCCACTGAACTGAGACCTTATTAACCCCTACCTCACTAAAAGAGGGACTTTTCACCATCTGCTCGGCTGCCCGGGATCCTGAGCTCGCCTCTCCCTGCCCTGCTGGGAGCCGGGCTGCCGCTGCCTCGCCCCCGCCGCATCTTCGGCGCTGCTCCGAGCTTTCGCTGCACTGTAGCCCCGCACGCCCTGCCTGCCGAGACACCTTGCCGGCCCTGCCTGCTGCTCCCGAGAGTCCTGCAGGGGCCCGGGATCTATGTCCCAGGGGGGTTTGTGCAGCAAAGCCTCTCTCCCATCCCTTCCCGTCCCGTCCGAGCCGCCATTACCGCGTTTGGCCCGAGACCGCGCCACAGCGCCCCCTGCCGGCGCGGGGGAATCCCCGCCCCTGCCCTGTCCGGCCGGGAGCCACCAGCGCCCCTGCCGGCCGTGCCCGGAACTGCACGAGGGGAAATGCCTGCGGCCGGGAAGGGTCACCGGGTCCTGTTCTATTTGGGGCTAATGCCAGAGCTGTTGTTGCTGTTTGTTTGCTTTATTGCGCATACTAGTAAAGATCTGTTATTCCTATTCCCATATCTTTGCCTGAGAGCCCCTTAATATCAAAATCATAATAATTTGGAGGGAAGGGCCTCCTTCCTTAGCAGACACCTGTCTTTCAAACCAAGACACTCAGTAATCTGTATTTTACTGAAGCATATCTGAATTCAGTGAGTGGTAGGAAATCTACTGCTTCTTGGGCAGTTTGTTGCATTGATCAGTTACCCTGATGGTAAAAATGTATGTCTTGTTTTTCTTTTCTATCTGGTTAATTACAGCTTCCAGTTACTGGTTCTTAATTACCTCTTCATTGAAGACTTCAATACTTGGGCCTGGTTTTCTTTTCAAAGATACTTGTATGCTACATAATCAAGTCATCTCCCAGTCATTTTCTCACTACATAGCCAGATTATGCTTTCTTAATATCTAGGCAAAAAAAAATTCCTCCATCACTTCAACTTTCTTCCTTCTTTTTTCAGTTTAATTTTTAAAAAGTGGAGTCCCTAGCAGGTTAAGGGCATTGATGTTCAAGCTCCATAATTAAGACAAATATCTCTTTCTTTTACTCTCTGGCTCTCTCCACCATGGTGAAGTTTTATTCTGAAGAATAGTAGGCATTAACAAAGGAAGGACTTCTGAAATGCATTTTCTTTTTTTCTCCCCCCAAGAGGGTAGAATGGTAGCAGTCTTATATTCTGTTGAATTAAGATGTCTTACAGACGAATAGGTTCTTCCTCTTTCTTCTAGTGACACTGAAACACAAATGCTCAGGAGGTACTTGTTTTAGGAATTGAGAGGTTGTATCTGCTCTGCGCTGCTGCATTTGTTAAGTTTTCCAGTTGTGTCATCTTAGAGCCTGAGTGCATGCAAAAGTAATGCATTCTGAATGTAGCTTTTCCTAAGTATGGTTTTGCAGAACTACCTAATATGTCCAAAGAGAGAAATCAATTCCAGATTTGACCACAAGGATAGAAATGCCTTGCAGTCTGCTGCATGGTTTGACCCTCAATTAAATCAATGAAAAGTTATTGGTAAATAGTGAACATACATTTGAATACACCTGACATGTGTGGTATAAGTGGTTTTAGCAGGTGAATAATCTAGAATTTATTTCCTACCATGTCCATTACAGTTTATTTGAGCATTCTGTATTGCTAAGTGATTAACCTACTTCTTTGATCTAAAATTAGTGTGCACAGCTCCATTTTTAGTGTTTCTAAGTACATTCACTTTTGTACCCCTGCTGCTTGCTTTTATTATACAACAAAGATGATTGTTTCCTTTAGCAAAAAACTTACTGAGTTTTAAATTATTTTCCTGTACATTGACCTGGAGGGAGAATGCCAGCAGTTTATTAGGGTTTAGGAGCACAAGTTCCCCATACCTTTTAATTTATGTATGTACACTTAAGAGTCCCACTGCAGATGACAGACAAGAATTTAATCTTTGTGCTTCATGTTTGTTAGGATGTATTTCATTTTGGTATGTGAGAAAACCCAGGGGAGACACACACAGTCTTGCAAAAAAAATTTGTGTGACACTGTTTTCAGCAACATCGAAATGCAACTACACATACCAGACTTCTTCATTCACACTGCCAAAGGAATAATAGGATTACCCTGCTTTGTTTTGCTTTTTCACCCTGGCATTAAATGAACTGAAACTTGATGTGTGAGTTTCTGGAAAATAAGGTCAGTTGAAAAAGAGTTTATTGTCCTTTCATTCTTGTTCTTTTTAGGTGTTCACAAACAAGTTCAAGTTTATCCAGAGAGCCATGGCAGAAGGTGGATTTGATCCCTGTGAATGCATTTGCTCTCATGAACATGCAATGAGAAGACTGATTAATCTGGTAAGGATAACATGAGGATATTTGGAGGGGTGTTTATTCAGACATTACCTCAGCTCTTGCAGATTTACAGTTAGTGGTGCTTTTGACTCTGTTTATTCAGTAGCATGTACAGTTAGAATGTGTGTATCCAACTTTCTGATGAGCTTTTGAATAGTCATTACAAATTACAGCTTTCTCTTTATTTCCCAGAGCTGCATTTTGACAGCATTGACACTGTTTCTGTGGAAGTATTTTTTTATATACCTTTTTTCCAGTCTGCATAAAACCAAAGAAACTACCCAGCAAAGTCTTTGTGGTCAAGGTAATTCCACACATATGAAGTTGCACATACTCATATGGCAAAATGATGTCTAAATTTTTAAAATTACTCTCTAAAAAGTTCTGAAGTTGAGAATCCAGTGATTCTGAGTTTTGAATTCTGTTTCTTGTGATGTCACTGATAGGTTGAGCAACTTCAAGCAAGTTAGGTACATTGCCCTAACTATGACCTGTTAAATAGCTATGTTTCTTTCTGTATTAAACTTAGTTCAATGTTTATTGAAAAAATAAGCTACAAAGTGCTTATTTTTTTTTTCTAAGTATATATTTTTAAAAATAACATTAACAATTATGAACTGTGAGCAATTAGGGAAACTTGATTAGAACTCTAATAACTCTAATTTGGTTAAATCTTTTTAAGATTACACTATACATCAACTTCATTTGATGTTCTTCCCCTTGTTGATTTTCATATAGTTGTTTTTATCCCATTTTCTTTCTTAGGGCCTAAATTAATATCATTTTAAGTGACTGAGTACGTCAACTGTTCAAGGCAGTTATGTGTTATTGTTATGAAGAATCTCTCTAGGATCAGGCCCTTCTTCAGGAGTTTTTTTAACAGTGTTTTAGAAAGGTGCTACTGACACAAAGGCACAGAAAATTGAGGCTTCTGTGGAGAATAGTTGTACTTTCTGTGGAGCCTTTACATCAGGCTTAGGCATCCTAGCTCATGCTGTCCAGTTAGAGGCACAATTTCAAAATCTTCTGAGCTCTCCCTGCTGCCCTTATATGAATGTTTGTACGTATGTTTTTTTCCCAAGAAGGATTTCCTTTTTGTCCTCAACATGATGTTTGTACCATATCCCACAGCTGTGTTGATTCTGAACCCTGAGACTTCTGAACACATGCTAAAGTGGTGAGAAAGGAACCCCCAGTACCAAGTTCAGAAGCTGGCAGAAAGGAGGGTGCATGTTGGCTTTTCCTCAGGCTTGTCAGGTGCAAATCTGAACCAGCACTGTTCAGAATCTTGACCCCCATTCAGCATTTTTTTATCTTTCCATTTTTTGCTAGAAGATACTGACAGGCAATGGCACTGGTCAGCCAGTTCCCTCTGTTGTGGCTGGAGGAGTCTAGTTATGAACAATGTGAGTTGTGTCCAAAGTTAGAAGAAATGCCACAAATGCCTGTGAGATTTTGTTCCTGGGCTGCTCCATGCAGTGTGAGGTTAGTAAAAATAGATCATTTGGAGGAACACTAGTTCCTGTGTTAGGAATGTGAACAGAGCACAGAAGAGGTGCATGCTTCTGGGCAGTCACCCAAGAGCAGTCTAACAATGTTCTGTGTAGCTGCAGGAATGGAGCTTATTGCTCAGTATCCACCTTCCAAAAAGATCGTACCAATTAGCACTTGAAACTGTGAGGAGTTCCAGGGAAATTCCAGATTTCATCTCTCCTAAAAAGCAATGCAGATGCTCCTAAATATTTATAAGGCCAAATCACTAGCTAGGATAATTTAGCAGAATCTAGAAAAGAAAAGTCTCAGAAGTCTCAGTCAGCAGCCAGACTATCCTCAAGTAACCTGTTGGATGATCTCAGCAGGAGACTTGCTAAGCCATTTTTGCATCTGTAGTTTTTATGCTTCAGTAAGAGTTTGCCTTCTAAGCTGCTGTTTTGTCACTCAGCCTTACACAACATAAACAGAAGTTTTACTATTTGTGCTAAAAAGAACATAAGGACGTTGGTTCTCAAAATTGCTGAACTGCACAAGTCTCAATGGAGACTGGGTGCACACTTCCTCTAAAAGTTGGATCCTCAAAACCCTAACTTCAAAATCATTGTGATAAATAAAGCTAAGTGATCTGTTCAGACTCTGTGTGAGAAAGATATGCAAATATTCTGTGTACCCAGAATGGTTCCCCATATGTATTTATTTGTTGATTCTTTTTTACCTAGATAGGTATAAAACACACCAGAATACATTTGAATAGTGTTATAGCTGGCAGTATTCAACAGGATTTTGGAGCAAATTGTATAACAAAGTGTTTGCAATTGTCTCCAGCTGAGCATTGTAAATGCAGGAGTTCAGAGATGAGATTTAACAGAATGAAATTTAACAGAATTATAATGTAATATAGGAAATGCCCAAGTATGAAAATGTTACTTTTAGGATCTTTCAATCCAGTAATGACATTGTGCAAAACCCCTATGATTGACTGTAGACTTCTTAAATTTGCATTGGAATTAAAGAAACTAACTTTTACAGACTAATTTGTTTATACCTATCTAAACCAACACTGATAAGAATTCCAACACTGATAAGAACTAGGGATTCTGAAAATGAAGAAGTTATTATATATTCAGTCATGACTATTATGTGTAGAGCTGGATTTCTGTTAGAATTAACTGTTCAGGAGATCTGAATGAAACTGATATTCCAAAATCAGAAAGAGGTCAAAAAGTCTGCCTCTAGAACCTGAAGTTCTTGTTTTAATTTCCAATATGATAATTTTAACTTGTAGTTTAATTGGTATATTTACTTCAAAACTCATAGAAAATATATTTGCCATTCAGAGTTTAATTTGTGGTTGAATACATTACTTTGGGGGTTTTATATAGCATATAGTTTAAATCTCTATTTGAAATGCAGACTTCAGTTCATCTTATAGTACAATTAATGCTTATACAATGAAAAAAACAAAAGCTAGCATAATTTAAACTCTTTTTCCTCTCTGTTGTTAGCAACACCACAGAAATTACAAGCAGGAAAGCTGTTAAAAAGTCCACCTCTTCCTTAATTATGTGGCTTGGTTATTTATCTGTCTTTCGTTTTCCTTGACTAAAGTAGGGCTTTGTGTTTTGTTTTTTTCTTCTTAATCCATAATACAATGAACATTTTATAGTCAGTCAACTGTGTATCTCTAATATGTGTAATATTTTAAAAGATATTTTGCTGCTTATTAGGTTAACTTGGAGATGTTATTCATACAGAGACTTCTTGCAACCTATATTTGCTTAAGTGGCTTTGAATTATTTTATGCTGAAGTGTTCTATCATTTTCCTGAAGTGGATTTTTCAGGATTCTCCTTGGAGTCAAAATATGAACATTTCACATGTATACATTTCTGTATTATGATCTACAAATATTCGTAGGAAACATCAGAAATCTAAAATTTTTGGCTGTGGCTTCATAAATATATTTTCTAGTATGTAATACCCATGGCACCATTTGTTATGACTTGATGGTATTGTGAAATAACAATATGGCTATTGTACATTGGGTTCACTATTTACTCTATGGATATAGCAGTAAATTGGGAACTTTTGTAAGAGGAAGTAAGCATAGAAGAAAAATGTCACAAGACTTTCCATGCTCTGCAGATGCACAAGACTTGTCAAAAGACAATGACAGGTTTGTTAGCTTGTATGACTTTATCTCCTGTTTAGTCTCCTCCATCTGCAAAACTTATTTTGACAAGAAGAGCTAAAGTTCAAGAACGAGGAACAACAAATGACAGCAAGTGGTTTTCTTAGGGGGGAATCTGTCAGACAAGGGGATAGTTGTTGAAAGAATCATGAAGGAGGACTTTCTGTGTACCCAGTGGAAATGGTTCCTGTCTTAGTTTTGGCAAAAGACAGCAAAACCCTAGATAAGAATGATGTATTTAAACCTTTTTATTTTATCTTTTTTCACTTATTTTGTAATAAGTACAAAAAATCTGATTCCCTTATATTACTCCTCTGGGTATCAATGCTCTCTGAGTGGGCATGGCTGATTTTGGCCCAAGGGTCAGTTCAAGTTTGAAAACTAGACTGAAAACAGTTTATATGAAGGTAAGAAATAATCATATATAGAGCACCTTCCATGAAGACTGAAACCTGCTTATGACTGTTTAGAGTGGCCAGAAATGTCCAAACAAACCAGTAACACACATGACTTCATGTCAAGTAAACATCCTTTTTCTCTCGCCTTCTGGTATAGTATTATTTGCTTTACAAAAACTGACTTCAGAATTCTCTCATACTAGGTTTTACAAAAATATGCAGTATGCTTTTTGACCCAAAACATTTTTAATTCTATAATGTAAAAGGACCCATTTTGATAAACTGCAAGCAGTTCTACTTACAAACTGCTGTGGGAATTACAACCTTGTGTTTTGTCCTTCAGCAGCTAATTGCAGAGTAATGGTCCATGCTTAGTTATGTTGCTATATCAAAACTTCAGGGGATACAGAACAAATCATTCTTTATTTTAATCTCTCTTGTATTTTGATTTGTCACTAGATTTTTGTAGGAAGAGTTGCAAATTCTCAAACTATTTCAGCATAAATGTTTCAAACACTCTTTTGTCAATCAAGTTTCTGCATAATTCTCTTGACCAGGTCATTTTAGAGTTTTACTGTTTCAAACTGGCACAGTCTGAAATAGTATCCAGCATAGCCACACAAGTCTTGGCTGAAGGAGACTTCGTGTAAACAGCACAAAATAAACACGGATGACTAAAATAGATATGTGCTGAAAATGGTTGAAAAGCTCTCAAGATGTTAGCACAGCTAAGCTCAACTTAAATAGTCAGCACAAGTGGCTTTCCCTATTGATGCGGGCTTTTACTGAAAGCACACCAGAGCTATATTAAATACACTTTTTATAATTTAAAATGTCCTTTAAATATGAAGGTTGCCCTGTAGACTTCTTACAGATATTCCATAGTGTTTGCCTTCTATTTTTTTTTATATAGCAGGTGCT